TCTGACTGCTTCTGACAATGGACTTGTCTCTGTACTTGTATTATTAGATCTTAGTGCTGCATTTGACACCACTGACAATAATATTCTTTTACAGAGACTTGAGCATCAAATTGGCATTAAAGGAACCGCACTAAGCTGGTTTAAGTCATATTTATCAGATCGCTCGCAGTTTGTACATGTTAACGATGAATCTTCAATAAATACTACAGTAAGTCATGGAGTTCCACAAGGTTCTGTACTTGGACCAATACTATTTACTTTATATATGCTCCCTTTAGGCAACATTATTAGGAATCACTCCATTAACTTTCACTGTTATGCAGATGATACGCAGTAATATCAATCAATCAAGCCCAATGAAATTAATCAATTATCTAAATTACAAACATGTCTTAAGGACATAAAGTCCTGGATGACCTGCAATTTTCTGATGTTAAACTCAGAAAAAAACGAAATTCTTGTTCTTGGCCCCAAAAACCTTAGAGACTCACTGTCTAAAGATATAGTCACTCTAGATGGCATTAACTTGGCCTCTAGCACCACTGTCAGGAATCTTGGAGTTATCTTTGATCAGGATTTGTCATTTAACTCCCACATAAAGCAGACCTCTAGGACTGCCTTCTTTCATTTACGTAATATTAGAAAAATTAGACACATACTATCACAGACAGATGCAGAAAAACTAATCCATGCATTTGTTACTTCAAGGCTGGATTACTGCAACTCTTTATTATCAGGTTGCCCCAATAAGTCCATTAAAACGCTCCAATTAATTCAGAACGCTGCAGCACGAGTACTGACAGGAACTAGAAAAAGAGATCACATCTCTCCTGTACTAGCTTCTCTGCACTGGCTCCCTGTAAAATGTAGAATTGAATTTAAAATCCTCCTCCTCACCTATAAAGCTCTTCATGGTCAGGCCCCTTCATATCTTAAAGAGCTCATAGTACCCTATTGCCCCACTAGAACACTACGTTCTCTGAATGCTGGGCTACTTGTGGTTCCTATAGTCTCTAAAAGTAGAACAGGAGCCAGAGCCTTCAGTTACCAAGCTCCTCTCCTGTGGAACCAGCTTCCAGTTGTGGTTTGGGAGGCAGACACCCTCACCACATTCAAGAGTAGGCTTAAGACATTCCTCTTTGATAAAGCTTATAGTTAGGGCTGGATCAGGTGAGTCCTGAACCATCCCTTAGTTATGCTGCTATAGGCCTAGACTATCGGGGGATTTCCCATGGTGCACTGAGCTAGTCTCTTCCTCTCTCTTTCTGCACTCATTCATGTTCCATTAATGCATGTTACTAACTCCACTTCTTCCCCGGAGTTCTTGTGCTTTCTCGTCTCGCAGGTTCTCATGGATCCTGGTGGAGCCTCCTGCCATGGTCCTGCTTGACTGCCATTGCCAATACTGTTGTTGCTGTGCACCTGTCTGTCTGTCTGTCTGTCTCTCTCTCTGTCTCTCTCTCTCTCTCTCACCCCAACTGGTCGAGACAGACGACCACCCACCTAGAGCCGGAGGATCTGTCCTAGGTTTCTGCCTTTTAACAGGCAGTTTTTCCTTGCCCTTGTCTCCAAGGTCTTGCTCATGGTGGTACTGTTGGGTCTCTGTAATTAATGTTAAAGAGTTCGGTCTAGACCTGCTCTATTTGAAAAGTGTCCTGAGATAACTTCTGTTATGAATTGACGCTATACAAATAAAATTGAATTGAATTGAATTGAATTGAAAGAGACAATAACAGACAATGACAGGAAATAACAGACAATAACAGACAATAACAGGAAATAACAGGAAATAACAGACAATAAAAGGAAATAACAGACAATAACAGACAGTAACAGGAAATAACAGATAATAACAGACAGTAACAGGAAATAAAAGACAATAAAAGACAAAACAGACAATAACAGTAAATAACAGACAATAACAGACAATAACAGACAATAACAGGAAATGAAAGACAAGAACAGACAATAAAAGAAAATAACAGGAAATAACAGACAATAACAGAAAATAACAGGAAATAACAGACAATAACAGAAAATAACAGGAAATAACAGGAAATAAAAGACAACAACAGACAATAACAGGAAATAACAGACAATAACAGGATATAACAGACAATAAGAGACAATAACAGACAATAACAGAAAATTACAGACAATAACAGGAAATAAAAGACAACAACAGACAATAACAGGAAATAACAGACAATAACAGGAAATAAAAGACAATAACAGACAATAACAGGAAATAACAGACAATAACAGAGAATAACAGAGAATAACAGACAGTAAAAGACAATAACAGACAATAACAGGAAATAACAGACAATAACAGGAAATAACAGACAATAACAGAAAATAACAGACAATAACAGGAAATAAAAGACAACAACAGAAAATAACAGGAAATAACAGACAATAACAGAAAATAACAGAAAATAACAGATAATAACAGACAATAAAAGGAAATAACAGGAAATAACAGACAGTAACAGGAAACAACCGAAAATAACAGACAATAACAGTAAAAAACAGACAATAAAAGTAAATAACAGGAAATAACAGACAGTAACAGGAAATAACAGAAAATAACAGACAATAACAGACAATAACAGACAATAACAGTAAAAAACAGACAATAAAAGGAAATAACAGACAATAACAGGAAATAAAAGACAATAACAGACAATAATAGAAAATAACAGGAAATAACAGACAATAACAGACAATAACAGACAGTAACAGGAAATAACAGAAAATAACAGACAATAACAGGAAATAACAGGAAATAACAGACAATAACAGAAAGTAACAGACAATAACAGAAAGTAACAGACAATTACAGAAAATAACAGGAAATAACAGACAATAACAGACAATAACAGGAAATAACAGATAATAACAGGAAATAACAGACAATAACAGAAAATAACAGACAATAACAGGAAATAAAAGACAACAACAGACAATAACAGGAAATAACAGACAATAACAGGAAATAACAGACAATAACAGAAAATAACAGGAAATAACAGGAAATAAAAGACAACAACAGACAATAACAGAAAATAACAGACAATAACAGGAAATAAAAGACAACAACAGACAATAACAGGAAATAACAGACAATAACAGGAAATAAAAGACAATAACAGAAAATAACAGGAAATAACAGACAATAACAGAGAATAACAGAGAATAACAGACAGTAACAGGAAATAACAGACAATAACAGACAATAACAGACAATAACAGGAAATAACAGACAATAACAGGAAATAACAGACAATAACAGACAATAACAGACAATAACAGGAAATAACAGACAATAACAGGAAATAAAAGACAACAACAGACAATAACAGAAAATAACAGACAATAACAGAGAATAACAGACAATAACAGACAATAACAGAGAATAACAGACAATAACAGGAAATAAAAGACAATTATTATATATATTAATATTATTATATATATTGTTTTCATATCAACTGTTATTATATATATTGTTATTATATATATTGTTATTATATAAACTGTTATTGTATAAACTGTTATTATATACATTGTTATTATATATATTGTTAATATATACATTGTTATTATATATATATTGTTAATATATACATTGTTATTATATATATATTGTTAATATATATATTGATATTATATATATTGTTATTATATATATTATTATTATATATATATTGTTAATATATACATTGTTATTATATATATATTGTTAATATATACATTGTTATTATATATATATTGTTAATATATACATTGTTATTTTTTAAAGTGCTTAACAAATAAAGTTGGATTGGATATATATTGTTATTATATAAACTGTTATTATATAAACTGTTATTATATACATTGTTATTATATATATTGTTATTATATATATTATTATTATATATATTGTTAATATATACATTGTTATTATATATATTGTTATTATATATATATTGTTAATATATTCATTGTTATATATATATATTGTTAATATATACATTGTTAATATATACTGTTATTATATATATTATTATTATTATTATATATATATATTGTTAATATATACATTGTTATTATATATATTGTTATTATATATATTGTTAATATATACATTGTTATTATATATATATTGTTTATATATACATTGTTATTATATATATTGTTATTTTATATTATTATTATATACATTGTTAATATATACATTGTTATTATATACATTGTTAATATATACATTGTTATTATATACATTGTTATTATAGATATTGTTATTATATATATTGTTAATATATACATTGTTATTATATACAATGTTATTATATACAATGTTATTATATACATTGTTATTATATATATTGTTATTATATATATTGTTAATATATACATTGTTATTATATATATTGTTATTATATATATTGTTATTATATATATTGTTAATATATACATTGTTATTATATACATTGTTAATATATACATTGTTATTATATATATTGTTATTATATATATTGTTATTATATATATTGTGTTATTATATATATTGTTATTATATATATTGTTAATATATACATTGTTATTATATATATTGTTATTATATATATTAATATATACATTGTTATTATATACATTGTTATTATATATATTGTTATTATATATATTGTTATTATATACATTGTTATTATATATATTGTTATTATATATATTGTTATTATATATATTGTTATTATATATATTGTTATTATATACATTGTTATTATATATATTGTTATTATATATATTGTTATTATATATATTGTTACTGGTTAATTCTAATTTATTTTTTTATGTTATTTTATGAATTTTAGGACCTTTTTCATGAAGAAATTACAAACTTTAATTTCATTATTAAACCGTGTATAATAATAATAATAATAATAATAATAAATGAATAATGACGTCAACAGATAAAAACAAAAACATGTTGACGTCATCAGTGTGCACCGTCCCGTTTGTTTACCTGCAGTTAAAATGGCGTCGCGCCGGGAGGCTGCGGTTCTGTCCTCAGTTGTAAACCTGAATGTGGGCCCGGGGCTCGGGGACCGGGTCCTGGAGCTGTACCGGCTCCAGGCGGACCTGCTGAGGCGCACGAGGGTCCGCGAGCTGCTGGACCGGAACCGGAGAATGCGACGGTACCGGAGGAGGAGGAGGGCGTTCCTGCTGTCCTCCCTCGCCTCCGTCCTCAGTCTCATCACGTCCACCAACAGACCCGTCTGGGTCCGGAACCGCGGGCCCGGGCAGACCTTCTGGACTCTGGCGGACTCGTTCGACGAAGAGGAGTGGAAGGCCCAGTTCCGGGTCTCACGAGCGACCTTCGACTACCTGCTGGACCGGATCGGACCCGCGATCAAACGGCGCAGGACCAACTACCGGGCCCCCATCGAACCGCGCCGCAGGCTGGCCCTCACCCTGTGGTGGTTCTCCCGGTCCGGAGAGTACCGGTACCGGTCCATCGCAGCTCTGTTCGGGGTCGGGGTCGCGACCGTCTGCGTGGTGGTCCGTCAGGTGACGTCAGCCATCGTGGACCGGCTCTACCCGCGCTGCGTGACCCTGCCGAGGGGCCCGAGACTGGACCGGACCCTGAGGGCCTTCAAGGTACGGAAGGCCAACAGGGTCAAAATTCATCCTCTAATCAGATTTATAATTATTATTATTATAATTTAAAAAAGGTTCAATATATATTCAATATATATTTATATTTATATTTATAATATATTTATGTGTCTACCTGAGTGTTTCTACCTGTCTGTTTCTACCTGAGTGTGTCTACCTGTCTGTTTCTACTCTATCGTTACTCTGACGTTACTCTAACGTTACTCTGACGTTACTCTGATGTTACTCTATCGTTACTCTGATGTTACTCTGATGTTACTCTGTCGTTACTCTGATGTTACTCTGACGTTACTCTGATGTTACTCTGATGTTACTCTGATGTTACTCTGATGTTACTCTGATGTTACTCTGTCGTTACTCTGATGTTACTCTGTCGTTACTCTGATGTTACTCTGATGTTACTCTGATGTTACTCTATCGTTACTCTGTCGTTACTCTGATGTTACTCTGTCGTTACTCTGATGTTACTCTGATGTTACCTCTTGTCGTTACTCTGATGTTACTCTATCGTTACTCTGACGTGACTCTGATGTTACTCTGATGTTACTCTGATGTTACTCTGATGTTACTCTATCGTTACTCTATCGTTACTCTGATGTTACTCTGATGTTACTCTGATGTTACTCTGTCGTTACTCTGATGTTACTCTGATGTTACTCTGATGTTACTCTATCGTTACTCTATCGTTACTCTGATGTTACTCTGATGTTACTCTGATGTTACTCTGATGTTACTCTGTCGTTACTCTGATGTTACTCTTTTCATTTACTCTGTCGTTATGTCGTTACTCTGATGTTACTCTGTCGTTACTCTGATGTTACTCTGATGTTACTCTGATGTTACTCTATCGTTACTCTGTCGTTACTCTGATGTTACTCTGTCGTTACTCTGATGTTACTCTGTCGTGTTACTCTGATGTTACTCTGTCGTTACTCTGATGTTACTCTGTCGTTACTCTGATGTTACTCTGATGTTACTCTGTCGTTACTCTGATGTTACTCTATCGTTACTCTGACGTGACTCTGACGTTACTCTGATGTTACTCTGATGTTACTCTGATGTTACTCTATCGTTACTCTGTCGTTACTCTGATGTTACTCTGACGTTACTCTGATGTTACTCTGATGTTACTCTGTCGTTACTCTGATGTTACTCTATCGTTACTCTGACGTGACTCTGACGTTACTCTGATGTTACTCTGATGTTACTCTGATGTTACTCTATCGTTACTCTATCGTTACTCTGATGTTACTCTGATGTTACTCTGATGTTACTCTGTCGTTACTCTGATGTTACTCTATCGTTACTCTGACGTGACTCTGATGTTACTCTGACGTTACTCTATCGTTACTCTATCGTTACTCTGATGTTACTCTGATGTTACTCTGACGTTACTCTGACGTTACTCTGTCGTTACTCTGACGTTACTCTGACGTTACTCTGACGTTACTCTGTCGTTACTCTGACGTTACTCTGTCGTTACTCTGACGTTACTCTGACGTTACTCTGATGTTACTCTGATGTTACTCTGACGTTACTCTGATGTTACTCTGATGTTACTCTGATGTTACTCTGGTTGTAGAAAGGTTAGCAGAGAGTGAGACAGGAGGACTGACTCAGAGCACTGACGTTTGATAGTGAGGACTTTTGACCTTTTTGGCTTTCCATATAAGGACCGCTGCTACCCGCAGTGTGTGGGGGCCATTGGCGGGACCCACATCCCCATCGCCCCCCCCAGAGAAAACCCCGACCACTACATCAACAAGAGGGGCTGGCACTCCGTGATCCTGCAGGCGGTGGTGGACCACAACCTGTGGTGAGTAATCAGAGGGCGGTGTCCTTAGGCCAGATACTGAACCCCAGACAGCGTCCTCCGTCTCTTAACGTGTGTCTTCTGTCCATCTCAGTTTCACGGACGTCTACGCCGGTTGGCCCGGAAGCACCAGCAGCGCCTCCGTGCTCTCCAGCTCAGACCTGTACCTGAAGGCAGAGGACCGCCCGGACGGATACCTGTTCCCCAGAGAGGTCGGTGCACCGGAGATTAAAGGTTCCTACGGTTGTTCAAAGTAATTTGTCTATTCAATAGTTCTACTGAGTCTCATCATTATTAATTATTCAGATATATTCAGTTACAGATGTAAGATAATGAAAGTATTATTATTATTATATAACAAAAGTTGTAAAGAACAATATTTCACTCAAATATAATTATTTAAGAAGCTGTTACAGTCAGTGTCAGCTCATCAGTGAATCTTCCTCTGCAGGTTGAAGATGATGCTGTAGATGAACCAGCTCATTAGTTCCTTAATCAGCCATAATGCTGAATATTATATAACCGATGTATTGTTATCAGAAACCCTGCTGTGTCTGTCTTTCAGAAGTCCCTGGTGTCTGACGGAGTGGAAATCCCCGTCCACCTCATCGGCGACGCATCGTTCCCTCTGAAGCCGTGGCTGATGAAAGGTTACAGCCCGGAGCACCAGCTGTCCCCCGAGCAGCGCCGCTTCTCCTACACCCTGGCCTCCGCCCGCTCCGTGGTGGACGACGCCTTCGCGCGGCTGAAAGGACGCTGGCGGTGTTTGCTGAAGAAAAGCGACATCGACGTCTCCATGATGCCCCGAGTGGTCGCCGCGTGCTGCGTCCTGCACAACATCTGCGAGACCCGCGGAGACAGTTTCCTCCCCGAGTGGAATGCAGAGACGGATCCTTCTGGAAGTTACCTGAGACAACCTGAGACGGAACCGTACGACGGAGACACGTACTGCACCGCCGAGGTCATCAGAGACACCATCACTTACAACCTGCTGACTATACTGCAGTACTGATCAATATACTGATCAATATACTGATCAATATACTGATTATTATACTGTAGTACTGAACTCTATACTGATTATTATACTGATCATTATACTGATCATTATATTGATCATTATACTGATTAACTGAAGCCTCTTCAAACAACAAATTCCAAAGAAAAACACTGCATTTCATCCAGTTACATAAACTTCTTTATATTGTATATTTGTAAATATAAACTTCTATATATTGTATATTTGTAAATATAAACTTCTATATATTGTATATTTGTAAATATAAACTTCTATATATTGTATATTTGTAAATATAAACTTCTTTATATTGTATATTTGTAAATATAAACTTCTATATATTGTATATTTGTAAATATAAACTTCTATATATTGTATATTTGTGAATATAAACTTCTTTATATTGTATATTTGTAAATATAAACTTCTATATATTGTATATTTGTAAATATAAACTGTGTATTGTATATTTCTATCAATGTGTGCTGATGGACGTATTACGCAGTCTCTGTTTTTATGTACAAACATTCTGAATGTGCTAAAATAAAAATAGCCAATATTCCCGTCAGAGCTTCTCACAACTTGAATAGGACAACTTTTATTTTTCCTTTAACAGATTCATTCTGTATCCGACCGCAGTTGAAACTATAAAGAAATGAGTTTACTATGTTAACTAATAAAATGAGTTTACTATGTTAACTACTACAGTCTTTAACTTGCACCTTTTCAGAACAGTCACATGGACAAGGACAGAAGCTGATCAGTGGAATTAAGATATTTCTAATCGTTTTCAGATGGAGGTTCTGAAACAGAGAAATGTAACACTGATATATCCAAAAACTGCTCTGATGATACTAAAACGTGTGTACTTTGAATATTGTAATGTAACCTGTAATACAGTGTTTAGACAGACTGCATTACTGTAATAAGGACAGATTACAGATAACTGTCGGCGGAAGTCAGTATAATTTATAGCCGAAGGAGGAATTCAGACCTAAATAAGTGTATAAATCAGTATTAACGATACTGTAACCATCGTAGTTTGTAATAAACACAATTGTATTTATTTTTAGCGGTTTTCAGAAGGAGGTTCTGACACACGTCCGAATCCAAAACAAAAACAACCGGAAGTAGTAGTGTCATGTTTGACGGCGGTTACGTACGTTTAGTGGGCTGGGTGAGATACGCTATTCTCTACGTCACTTACGTACTGAAATGACGTCCCGCTGTCGCTCGCGGCCGTACGTACGTACGTAACGGCTACGCGTCGTAGCAGCTGTCAGTCAAAGGACATTTAAATGTCCACACTGGACCTCACAGCGCCGCAACAACGCGAAGCAAACCGCCGCTCAAACTCGGTTTATTCTGCCCGTCGCTGCTCTTACTGGTCACATCCAGCCGCCATTTGGGCTCAGTCGGTCCGGGAAGCTTCAGATGAAGATGAGCGATGAAGAGGAGTGTCTGCAGAGAGCCAGAGCCGGGTTCGAGGACCTGTGTCGGGCTTTAAACATGGACGAAGAGGCGAGCAGCGAGGCTTGGAGAACCTACGAGAACATCAACAGGAACTTTACTTTAGAGGTAAACAACAACAACAACAACAACAACATCCGGCTGCTGGCTGCTAGCTGCTGCTAGCTGCTGCCTCCAGGTTCACTGTACGGCCGATAGCTAGCTTCATATAGCCACAATGCTAACTGTCGTTGAAGCTCTAATAATCTCTAATAATCTCTAATAATCTCTAATAATCTCATTAAACTGTTACAGTCTGTTAATCTGATGTTAGCATTCTACCTGCTGCAGTGCTAATGTGTATATATATTTATATTTATATATATTTATAATGTAACAGCTAATTACAGCTGCTAGCTCTGCTGCGTGTGGCTGCAACTGGCATTACATCATCATATTATTAATATTATTAATAATATTATAATAATATAATAATAATAATATAATAATATTATTATAATATAATAATATTTTTATTTTTATTTTTATTTTTTTTTTTTATATTAATAATATTATTATATTATTATATTATTATTATATATTATTATTATTATTATTATTAATATTAATAATATTACTATTATTATATTATTATATTATAATATTAATAATATAATAATAATAATATTAATAATATTATTATTATTATATTATTATTATATTATTAATAATAATAATATTATAATATTATTAATAATATTAATAATATTATTATATTATTATAATATTATAATATTATTATTATTATTATTATTATATTATTATAATATTAATATTTATATTAATAATAATAATATATAATAATAATTTGCTAATAATGCTAATAATGCTAATAATAAGTAATAGTAATGAGCAGGCACTAGAGAGGGCTCAGTGTAACCCAATACACACGTATGAGCGGTTTATTAAGTTAATGACCTGCAGACTCAGCCGAGGGTAATCATATTCAATACTTCTGATTGAACTCCTATCACAACAAATATTACAAATCATAAACACAGCCAATCAATTATTGATACTGATCAATATCTGTCAGTGGTTATAGAAATATCGGCTCATATAGAGGCTTCAGTATCAAACAGGCAGAGTTATGGATCAAATGATGAATCCATAAAAAAGATAATAATTGGAAATGAATCTATAATGTAATTGATTATTAACCCCCCCCCGCAGGGCAGCGAGCTGCACTGGTTGGCCTGCTCGCTGTACGTGGCCTGCAGGTCCTCGGTGCCGACGGTGGGAAAAGGCACCGCCGAGGGCAACTACGTCTCTCTGACCAGGATCCTGCGCTGCTCAGAGATGAGGTAGGCCCATAATGCACCTGTGCACTCACCTGAGGGGGTGAGTTAGCAGTGCTGCTAGTTAGCTAACGTGCTAGCATGTTTACTGCTGTCTTCTTCTCTCCTCCTCTTCCTCCTCTTCCTCCTCTCTCCTCCTCCTCTTCCTCCTCTCTCCTCCTCTTCCTCCTCCTCTTTCACCACCTCCTCCTCCTCCTCCTCCTTCTCTCTCCTCCTCCTCTTCCTCCTCTCTCCTCCTCCTCCTCCTCCT